ACACGCGTACTGGCAGGAAGCCCAGACCAGCTTGTCGTTGAAGTAGAACAGCACCCGAAGACCTAAGCGACGCAGATGGGCCACCATGACCTGGGTAAGGCATGTTAATACGTGAGCTGCCAGGTTCAAGCCGAAAGGGAGACAACGAAAGCGGTAACCGAGACGCCCCACCCCGAGCCAATCTCTAAACACCGGATGAATCAGGATGTGCCAATACACATCCCAGAGGCCCAGTGTTATCATCCAAGCACCTGGCTCCAACAGAAGCCGGACCTGGGACAGAGTAGTCATCCAAAAACAGGGGCAAAAGACCCAAGGATTCAGACGGGACAAGTCCAGAATGCACCGCAGGTCCATACAGTCCCGTTTCGGGACTGGGAACAGACGGAAAAAATGTCAATTTCTAATGCAGGCGATGAGTCACAATAACGTGGCTGAAGTATGTTGACCAGACCACACAATAGAAATTGAAGAGACGACGACGTTTCGGTCCGTCCTGGACCATTCTCAAGTCGAAGTCAAGTCAACAATCGACTTGAGAATGGTCCAGGACGGACCGAAACGTCGTCGTCTCTTCAATTTCTAGTGTGTGGTCTGGTCAATTTCTAAGTTTTAAATGTCTGTGAATATTATTCTAAGAACTTAGAGGTATTATTTTTATTAATGTTTGAATGTTTTTAGTGTATCCTTGTAAGTGGATGAATGGACATAAATAGGGGATATTAATAGGGTATTAAAAGTATCAACACAAGACAGAACATGAAACAATGGGTATAAATTGGATAAGTTTAGATTTAGGAAAGACTTGGGTAAATACTGGTTCGGTAACAGGGTTGTTGATTTGTGGAACCAATTACCGTGTACCGTGGTGGAGGTGGGGTTCTCGATTGTTTCAAACGTGGGTTGGACATGTATATGAGTGGGATTGGTTGGTTATAAATAGGAGCTGCCTTGCATGGGCCAATAGGCCTTCTGCAGTTACCTCTGTTCTTATGTTCTTATAAGCGTGCAAGTCCTCAGCCACTAGTGCAGCCGAAAGGGAAGGAACCTGCACGTGAAGCTGAACCACGCCAGCATCCTGCGGAAGGACAGGAGTGAACAAGCAAGCATTGAGGTGCTCGAATTCATCCCCGGGTAAACCTGGACCACCGTCAACGCCTCGCGCCACTCAAGCATGCAGGTATGAGAGAAAGCACTCCAAGCATTCAATGCAAATTACCCCTTACCCTAAGGTAAACAAGGGAGGAAGAAACCCCCCCTAGCACCATCGAGTCCAAGCGATGTTAAAAGCTCTGTACCTCAAGGTACAGTCCTTGCACCACTGCTTTTCCTTATTCTCATATCTGATATAGACAAAAATACTAGTCACAGCTTCGTGTCATCCTTCGCAGATTACACAAAAATCAGCATGAAAATTACCTCTGCTGAAGACATTGAAAAATTACAAGCAGATGTCAACAAAGTTTTCGATTGGACAGCAGAAAATAACATGATGTTTAACAGTGATAAATTTCAGGTAATCAGGTACAGCAAAAATGAGGATCTGAAACATAATACAGGGTACAAAACACAATCGAATCTTCCCATAGTAGAAAAACAGCATGTCAAGGATTTGGGAATAATGATGTCCGACGATCTAACGTTTAGGGAACATAACCAAGCAAATATTGCATAAGCTAGAAAAATGATCGGATGGATTACGAGAACTTTCAAATCCAGGGATCCCACCACAATGGTTGTACTCTTCAAGTCACTTGTGTTGTCACGTCTCGAATACTGCTCAGTACTCACTTCCCCCTTCAGAGCAGGAGAGATTGCTGAAATAGAGGGAATACAGAGAACATATACGGCACGCATAGACGAGATAAAACACCTAAATTACTGGGATCGTCTCAAAGCTCTCCAAATGAACTCTCTAGAAAGGAGATGAGAGAGATACCAAATAATATACACATGGAAAATACTGGAGGGCTAGGTCCCAAATCTACACAGTAAAATAACAACATACTGGAGTGATCGATATGGAAGAAAATGCAAGAGTGATCCAGTGAAGAGCAGAGGTGCCATAGGCACAATCAGAGAACACTGTATAAACATCAGAGGTTCGCGGTTGTTCAACGTCCTCCCAGCGACTATAAGAAATATTGCTGGAACAACCGTGAGCATCTTCAAGAGAAAACTGGACTGTATTCTAAGAGAAGTTCCGGATCAGCCGGGCTGTGGTGGGTATGTGGGCCAGCGGGCTGTGGTGGGTATGTGGGCCTGCGGGCTGCTCCAAGCAACAGCCTGGTGGACCAAACTCTCACAAGTCAAGCCTGGCCTCGGGCCGGGCTTGGGGAGTAGAAGAACTCCCAGAACCCCATCAAGCAGGTAAGCACACTCAGGGTGGTCAATTACTAGGCAGCAAAAGATCAACAGAGGTAGACCCCAAGGTTATTTGAAGAAGATAACCCCAAGCCCCAAGGGCAGTACTTACAGGGCACTTAGGGAAGGGAACCCTAAGTGCATGCAACCCGAGTACCAGTGAAGATTACTCCCAGCTCACACACCACCCTGAAGACAGCACTAAACATAAGAACATAAGAACAAAGGTAACTGCAGAAAGCCTATTGGCCCATACGAGGCAGCTCCTATTTATAACCACCAAATCCCACTCATATACATGTCCAACCCACGCTTGAAACAATCGAGGGACCCCACCTCCACCACGGTACACGGTAATTGGTTCCACAAATCAACAACCCTGTCACCGAACCAGTATTTACCCAAGTCTTTCCTAAATCTAAACTTATCCAATTTATACCTATTGTTTTGTGTTCTGTTTTGTGTTGATACTTTTAATACCCTATTAATATCCCTTTTGTTATGTCCATTCATCCACTTGTAAACCTCTATCATGTCACCCCTAACTCTTCGCCTTTCCAGCGAATGCAATTTAAGCTTTGTTTAATCTTTCTTCATATGAAAGATTTCTAATTTGGGGAATTAACTTTGTCATCCTACGCTGGACACGTTCAAGTGAATTTATATCCATTCTATAGTACGGCGACCAAAACTGAACTACATAATCTAAATGGGGCCTAACCTTAGCAAGATATAGCTGAAAAACAACACTATGTTTCTTGTTACTAACGCTTCGATTAATGAATTCCAGTGTCCTATTTGCCTTATTACGAACATTACGGTTTTGACAATATATATACAGTAAATGATTTAGTTTTAGGTTTGCGTAGCATTTGCAAATTTGCTGATGATACAAAAATCGGTAAGGTAGGGAAATTAATACGGAAAAAGACACACTATCACCGGGGAGCCGGTTGGCAGAGCGGACAGCACGCTGGACTTGTGATCCTGTGGTCCTGGGTTCGATCCCAGGCGCCGGCAAGAAACAATGGGCAAAGTTTCTTTCACCCTATGCCCCTGTTACCTAGCAGTAAATAGGTACCTGGTGTTAGTCAGCTGTCACGGGCTGCTTCCTGGGGGTGGAGGCCTGGTCAAGGACCGGGCCGCGGGGACACTAAAAAGCCCTGAAATCATCTCAAGATAGATCACTTCAAGTTGATCTAAATAGGATTTTGAAATGGTCAAAAGATTGGCAGATGCAGTTTAATGCATCTATTAAATACCTCAATATTAAAAAGAGTATATCAGTCAGTTAGGCACAGACAGTCGCAGTGAGAGGGTGTTTTAGCTGTATAAGGCACAGCACTGAGACAAGAAACAAGAGCTGGAGTCACACGACCAAGCCTTAATCATATCAGCCGAGAACTGGAGGTGTGGGTAGCCGGCATGAGGGGGGTCTGGGACTCCCCCTTCCCCCTCCCTAGGAGGGGAGGGGAAAACAGCACAGACGAGGGCGCGGCAACGTGATAACGTCATGCTTGTTTACTTGTTTTTCTTTGGGGAGTTCTTTCCAATCGTTTGACTTTTAGTAGTAGTTTCAACCAGAATAGGGGTTTGTTTTGGGATGCTTACCTTTCTGGGTGCCTGACCCAGTCAATGGCAGACATAGAATGCTCCAAATCACATGTGCATTTCTATAGGCCATTGCTCCTTGTGCCTCTCTGAAGGGGCCAGATTCTGGCTCGTGGTCCCTGGTAGGCCTAAGAACTCCATTCACACTGACTGATGCCAAAGTCTAATAGTTCCATATCAGCCTGGATAAGCTCCGGGGAGCTGAAGGGGCTCCTCCAAGAAAACATTTCATTACCCAGGGCAAGACAGAAAGCCCAAGACCCCTGGCTTGCCCCAAGGACGAGGACCACCACAAGCGAGGAAGCCCCCCCCCCCTGACTGGAGTGTTACTCCTAACACCCTAGAGAAGATAACCTTGACAGTGCAAGGGCAGTCCATACAGAGTGCACAGGGAAGAGAACCCTGAACACATGCAGCTCTAGGACATGGAAACTCCTGGTTCATGCACACGTCCGTATATAAACACCGCCGCAAGAGCAAAAACACCAAAGAAATCGGGAACACAGAGCCAGAGCAACACCGACAATTGGCACACATCAGTCAAGAACTGAGGCTCCCTCTCCCCCCACCGAGCGAGGGGTTAGTTGGACAAAGCTTTGGTTGTTTATTTTATTTTGAGGGGCATTCCTTTGATATTGTGGTTTTGTGGCTAGTAATAAACCATGCAGTGGTATATTTTGATACACCAACCTTTCTGGGTTCCTTCCATGATGATGGCAGAAATGATCAACTTTAAATGTAAAGTATTCACGTGCCATCGCTCCCTTCGCATCTCTGAGGGGGTCAGATTCTAGCTCATGATCCCCATTAGGTATACAAGAACTCTGTGACGGATGACACACGTAGTATGGTACTTAATCAGTAAGCTAGCTTCAGGGAGCCAACAGGACACCCCACAGAAAAAGAAAGTAATTGAAGAACAGTTAATAGTGATACAAACATCAAAATAAAAGACAGATCATTCTTTCTGCAGCAGTACTGTAGTTAAAATAAAATATTGATTACAATTAATAAGAACAACATACCCACACATTGCAGGTTCTTCAAAACAATCATCTAAGCTGGCACCATGTCCTTCTTCATTATAATCCGAGTATGGTGGTGTGGATACCACTGCACCCAACACATCTGAAGGACTCTTACAGGACCGTCGTGAACAACCATCCAGTGCATGGCTCTTGTCTTCATGATCTTGTGCGTCCTGTACCATTTGCTCATCACACAGTAAGTCAATGTCTTCCTTGCTGTCACCTTGGTGAAGCTTCTTCTGCTTATGCTTGAGTGTGACATTTTCCCGCTCTCCTCGTAATCTTGCAACAACTAGTTTCTGGGTTACAGTAAATGAGTTAGGTCAATTTAGGCACACAAAAACAAAGACAAAAAGAGCAAACAACTTAAAAGTAAGACATGAGTAAAATGACTTTTCTGAGCTGGTCGTATTGTTGCTCCCTTGAGCCTGTGGTATAACTGAGCCATATACAGCTACTGCTCACCAGGCTCCACCTCTCAGTTAGTATTAAGTATTTACCCCATTATGCCTAGAAATAATTTTCATCTGAATTATTCTAAGTTTTGCCCAAAATGCTTTGCATAGTAGTGGCTTCATTTAATGTGCAACCCCTGTGTATCTTCAAATTTACCTCTGTCTTATGTTCTTTGTTTGTATATTTTTATGAATAAAGTATTATTATCATCAGTATTATATTATTATAATACTTTGTTCACCCCATCATGACCAGTGACATTTCAAATAGTGAAAAAATCAATAGAAGCCATGATGAAACAATAGAAGCCACGTGCATCAACAAACTCGAAAACTGAGGCAAACCTCGAGTACCCCAGTCAAATTTTTTGAAGAAATTGAGCTTGAGAATAGAAAAAATAAAAAACGGGGCAATCGAAAAAAAGAGGTTCCACTGTATATCCTTGCCTACTGCCATGTTAGCCTGTAGGATTCCTTTGAGTTGTTCACCATACACGTATTTTCTTGATCATTTCTTCAAATTCACTACTCTTCACTTTCCACACCTTATTATTTTTCACTAGTTCCTTGAAGTGTACCTACTCATCCTTACCTTGTTAGTGTGACGGTGTCCACCCCTATATTTCTTCCTTACCAGCTTAGAAGAGTAGTATCTCCGCAGCCTAGGTGTTCTTTAATGTTCAGGGAACATTCTCATGTGTGGGAAAGCGTGGAGCGTGATTAAGCTGGCTGTAAAGTGGCCAGCTAAGTTTGATGATGCGAGGGGCTTACGCCTTTTGAAGCACAGGACGGTGACAAGCCATCCTGTTTCCCGCCAAGGCGTCCTGACGCTTCCCGGCACCTGATTGGCCAGGTGAGGTCACGTGCTGGAAGTGACCAATGACGAGAGCCCTCGTGCGGTGTGACGTCATGAGGCGGAGGGGCGCGAGGCAGCTGGCGCCTGGGGTGGGAAGACAGTACGTCACGAGCCGTCAGAGAGGGAGGACGCGCTCAAGCGAGCTCCAGACCTAGAGAGCCCTTACCAATAGATTTAAGCTCCGCTTTGATTCTGCAGACAGTCTGGGAAGCCATCCAACTTCCGTGAAGTGCCCGGAGGCAAGGACGGACCGGATTGAAGAGCCAAGAGCCATATCAAGAGTCTGCAGTAGAAGGAACGTTGGGCTGGTGACATCTGGGACGCCCACTAGAGGACCACGTCTTGCACATCAAGCGAGAAGCTAGGGCCGGGCCCAAATCTACTGGCAGTTAAGGCGAGGGGAAGCTGTGCTGGACTGTGAGGAGTCGACAGTGCCAGTGAGAGTGAGGACGACAACGGAGGTACCTGTCTCCAGTAACCCAGAGCATAGGAAGAAGAAGGCAGTACCTGTTGGATGTGAGCACAGCGAGGATGCGTTACCACGAAGGCGGCGGAGGAACCTGTGTGTGTGTGGGAACTGTTCATCAGGAGACCAGAAGCCAGAACCAGGAACCTCAACATCCCTCAACAAAGGACGAGTCAGCTTCGTAGTTGGAGTGAATTAAGGTAGATAATTGTCCCTCCCTTACCCCTTTTGAGCTAGGCAAGTTAGAGTATTTTATATGTTGTGAACATTTCTTCTCATTTTATTGTCTAAGTGACGGGACGTTAGGCTAAGAGCCAAAAACTCATTTAGACATGAGTTGATGTGGGTGAGCATTAACGTGGTGATGTTAGTGATCCTGGAAGGGTAGTTGGTGTGCAAGGAGCCACCAACGTACTCTGAAACGTCCAGCTGATCGCCTTGCTAGAGGCGTGGGAAATCATGACGTCTGAAAGCTAGAGCTGTCAGCTGATCGTGTTGCCAGAGGCGCGAGGTGTGTGCCCGCGCGGGAGGAGTGGATCCAGTCAGCTGACCGTGTTGCCAGAGACGTGTCATGGAGAAATGCTGCCGCCAGCGGATGATTCCAACATAGACATTTCTTTATGCCTTTGTATATGTATACAGTATATGTTTTTCTTCAGTAAACTTTTAAACTCACTGAGGAGTTTAAGTGAGCCTCCATTCTCTAGGGTTATATTTATGTATATTTATGAGACCATTAGTGACACCTTGTACTGCACATGATATTGCATCCTTGATCAAGATAACCATTAAGACCACTGACGTGTTGCTGGGACACGAGCATAAACACCCAGCTGGCGACCTGAGTAGACCAGATAAAGAAGAAGAAAGTGTTCCAGTGTCAGGACAGGCAGGTTTGAGTGATAAGTTACAAGAAGCTTACAGATTTAGGCGAGGGGCTACCTGTGGGACCCCACTCGCTAGGGGTGTATAAGGCCAGCCCTTAGTTGACTGGGGGAGCCCAAGGGCGAGCAGTGGCGTCCGGTACCGAGGGGCTAAGACCTGTGGGACGACCCCAACCACAGGGTGGAAGGGGGTGAACCCTGACATTAGTCAAGCTGGTAATTTCCTTACCTTGCTGGAAAATACTTGCTTTTAAATTACACAGCTCAATCTTGGGCCCTTCATTTTCTTGTACCATTTTAATTACTTTTTATACATATGGTCATTTTTAGCAAGTCCTCAATACAGTACTCACTAACCTTGACAAGAAAACCTTCTTTCATTATATCTTGTGATGAAAGCCCTTTGAAACATTCATCTGTTGGTATGTTGCTGTTGGCTGAGGGGCAACAACGATCGAGGGATCGAATGCACCTCGGCTGCTCGATACCAGGAAATAGTAGAGAGATGGAATCCCTATAGTTTCTTCAGGCCACGGACATGATGAATGAAGCGGAAAGTATGGCAGAGGATGTCATAACAGACGTCTTCATCTCTCGCACTTGCTGCATCAAGGAGAAAGCGAATCGTAAGGCGGGAAATATTCAGCCTACAAACGACACTCTGTAGTCTGAGCTATGAAATCATGGGCAGTGGAGGTGTTCCACTGTATCCTCCTGGGTCGGACACCACTGGCAGTATGGGGAATCTACCAATCGTAAACGATGGAGGTGTGCAGCCAGGCAGGTATCCGGAGAAGAATGCTGGCCATGTCGAGGAATTGAGAATGGTGACGAGCCCATGGACACGAGAAGGAGCTCTCCCAGAGACTTGCCAGAGAAGAGGACCTAAGGGCTAGCGCCATAACTGCCTCCCAACTCGCGAGGTAAACAGCCCGGAGCTGCAGGAGTTTTGGTAAGGTCCAGAGGCACATTTATAAAGTCCTGGATATCATGCATCTTCCTTACTGCTGTGTCAGCTACCTCATTGCCATTAATGCCAGAATGTGACGGAACCCATTGGAGAGAGATCGACCAACCTGGAATAACAAAGTACAACAGCTTCTACACAGATCTGTGACACAGTACGATAATATCCTTGCGGACACCAAGATGATATCAGATGCAGGGCTGTAATGGAGTTGTAAGGCCAGCAAGATTGCAAACAGTTCTCCACCAGGCATAAATGAGCAGGGGAGAGCTCATTCGAGAGCTCATTTCGAGCCCGGCCGAAATCCACTGATACCTTCAGGTAAAAAATCTGAGATTTTTTTTTCCCTGAGGACAAGGTGTTCCGCCAATTTTCCGAGACATGGAAGCAGACTTATGGGCCAATAGGAACTTGGGACAGACGGATCCCTCCCAGACTTGGGAAATGGTAGAAGAATGGTATGTTTCCATGGGTCAGGGAAGACACCAGAGAACAGCAAGTGTTGTAGAAGTGAAGGTGTGACCACAGGATCCTGGGCACTCCTGGAATGAATTCATACGGGATGCTCTCTATCCCTGGCATAATGCCCATCCTAGAGAGTGACAGGGCCTACTCGAGCTCAACAAATGTAAATGAATGGTCCAGGTCCCGACTAGGCTTACATCCTGTCGGGTGTTCCAACCTATGTAACCCAACCTGTAAAAAGGAAAGAGTGGGGAATGGTAAACATTCTCAAAGTGGTCAGCCATGAACTTTTCCCAGGCTCCCATTACCAGTGAGGGGTCTGAGCAGGATGGAAGGACAGGAGTTCATCTCTGTCATCTTGCGAATAAAGGCACAGGCTCCCGCAGAGGAGTCAAATTGGAAGGAGGCACATTAATCAACCCAGGATTGGCAAGGAGAACTACCCGCCTATACTTGGTATCCACCCTGTGGAAAGCCTGCCATTGCATTGAAACGGGATGGCATCGCCATGAATTCCATGCGTGGCACCAGTCAAGCCCTGCCTGCCAGCATTCAGGCATCCAGCACGGTGTCCTATGGCAGGACTAGGTGGAAATCTGGCAACTCATTCTCTTGAAGTGCAGAGCCTATACTAAAGGGAGAATCTGAGAGAGAATTCACTGACCCATGCAGATACCCCGTAACCGGGGGAAGAGTAGACCAGTCATCCGCTTCATAGCTAAGCAACCTCTTTTCCAGGAAGATCCACTTGGATCTCCATTTGGATCTCCGCGCAGTCAGAGCAGAACAAACAGTACCCCCGAATGAAATGATAACGGGCAGGAGACTACCCAGATACAGCCCGGTCCATATCTGCATCATCATAAATGGGCCTCTCCCAATGCAGAGACTGAGCATGACAGTATGCTCATTGAGCAGGTCTATCTGGGTTCCCAAACCTGGCCGTGTCAGTAAGGAGAGGTCTGGGGGAATTTAAGAGAAACTGAAATGGGCTCAACTGGCCATGTTGTGGAGGTGATTCGGTAGCATCGGTTGCCATGATGAGTACCGGGCAAAGTCCAGCAAAGCTTGATGAGTCTGTGATCTGGCCAAAATAGTGTTCTAGCTCCCTTGCCATTACCCATAGATACGGGTTATACAGTACTCCAAAGGAGGGAGAGCCACCTTAACTGCCATGAACTCCAGATACCCACCTGAAAAAGAGTG